CAGGTTGTATTTGATAAATTCTCCGGTAGTCAGAGCAGAGAACCTGCGCTTCAAGGAGGAGGGGGTCCGTGATGTGCTGAAGGATGTGTTCCTGCCGTGGTACAACGCCTTCCGCTTCCTGATGCAGAATATCTACCGACTACACAAGGTACCAAAGAACCCGCGATGGATACCGCCATCAACTTGTATGATTGCTGGGTGCTGTCACGGCGGTGGGATTGCTGTCACGGCGGTGGGATTGCTGGGTGCTGTCACGGCGGTGGGATTGCTGGGTGCTGTCACGGCGGTGGGATTGCTGGGTGCTGTCACGGCGGTGGGATTGCTGGGTGCTGTCATGGCGGTGGGATTGCTGGGTGCTGTCATGGCGGTGGGATTGCTGGGTGCTGTCATGGCGGTGGGATTGCTGGGTGTTGGTCGTAGCGTTCTCCTCACTGGTTTCCTGTCTTCCAGGAGGCGGGTCTCCACTTCCTGTACAATGGGACCTCGGCCAGGACCGGTGGGAATATTATGGATAGATGGATCGTGTCCTTCACGCAGTCCCTGGTGCAGTTCTTTAAGACGGAGATGTCAGGTAGACGTTCGTTACGAGCGGCGCGCCATTTTCTCAGCTTTCCATTCTCATTCTCTCCCAATGCTTTCCGCAGCTTACCGACTCTACACGGTGGTTCCCCGACTAGTCAAGTTTGTTGACATGCTGACCAACTGGTATGTGCGCATGAACCGCCGGCGCCTGAAGGTAAGCACTGAGGGGGAAGTTGTCCGTGGCAACCAATCAGCTTCTCTCTTTTATTTTCAAAGCTTAACTGAACAAACTGACAACAGAGAAGCTGATTGGTTGCTATGGGCGACTGCTCCAGGTCTCCTCATTGGATAGTTTGGTGGTTTGGTGTCCCTTCTGATCCGCGTGTCTCTGTTTCCAGGGTGAAAGCGGCACGGAGGATTGTCTGATGGCCTTGGAGACTCTGTTCAGTGTTCTGTACTCCATGTGTACACTGATGGTAAGGCTGCTCTCCCCCTTCCTCCCCTCCAGTCTAGAGGCTCCCCCCCCTCCTCCCCCCCCCCTTCCTCCCCTCCTGTCTAGAGGCTGCTCTCCCCCTCCCTCCCCTCCAGTCTCGAGGCTGCTCTCCCCCTCCCTCCCCTCCAGTCTCGAGGCTGCTCTCCCCCTCCCTCCCCTCCAGTCTCGAGGCTGCTCTCCCCCTCCCTCCCCTCCAGTCTCGAGGCTGCTCTCCCCCTCCCTCCCCTCCAGTCTCGAGGCTGCTCTCCCCCTCCCTCCCCTCCAGTCTCGAGGCTGCTCTCCCCCTCCCTCCCCTCCAGTCTCGAGGCTGCTCTCCCCCTCCCTCCCCTCCAGTCTCGAGGCTGCTCTCCCCCTCCCTCCCCTCCAGTCTCGAGGCTGCTCTCCCCCTCCCTCCCCTCCAGTCTCGAGGCTGCTCTCCCCCTCCCTCCCCTCCAGTCTCGAGGCTGCTCTCCCCCTCCCTCCCCTCCAGTCTAGAGCCCCCCCCCTCTTCCAGGATATGTCGAGCTGTATCGGTAGTCTTTGGCATGGTAAACATGGCTGCTTGTGCGTTGTCTTCCCAGGCGCCGTTCACTCCGTTCATCACTGAGCTGATGTATCAGAAGCTGCGACTGCTTGTGGATCCGACGTCTGTCCAGGAGAAAGACACGCAGAGCATTCATTACCTCATGCTGCCCCCGGTCAGGTAACCCCGGAGAGGAAGGCTTGTGTCCCCCATTCTGTCACCCCGTGCCGTAACCCCGCCTCCCCGCCCTCCATGCGTCTGATTTATCCTCTTTTCTCCAGAGAGAATTTAATTGACAAGAAGATTGAGGCTGCTGTGTCCCGAATGCAGTCCGTCATTGAGCTGGGCCGCGTCATACGTGACCGGAAGACTCTGCCCATCAAGGTTGGCTTCCACTAGTAGCGATGCGCCGAAAAAATGCGTCGCGCTGAAACCAATTCTTATTTCATTGTTATTTATTTATTGTCGGGGACTCGGGCGAAATCTCTCAGCAGACCCCCTCACACCGGAACGTCTTGCGGCGGGTTCTACGCTCGGCGAACGCTCTACAAAACGCTCCAACATCTAAATCGCGTTGTATTCAATGGTCTGGTTCCCACCTCGGCGCCCGTCCCTAACGCGCTACAAAGCGGCCCGCGCCTGAGAAGGTCCCGGAGCTACTTTGGGCCGTTTTTGTCGCGCGTTTCCATTGGGATACAGCCAAGCAGCCTTCGGAAACGCGCAACTTTTTTACCGCGAATCGCGCGACGGTCACGTGACAGACGTGCATATGCAATACGCCTAGGTGTGAACGAGACACCCTAAGGTTATGAATGGG